CAGCAGGGTTTTTTTTTGTTTTGTTTTGTTTTGTTTGTTTGTTTGTTTTACAAAATAAAGGTTTGTTTTACAAAATAAAGGTTTTCCTTCTCAGGGCCTGTCTGGACAAGGGGCTGAGGACCATTTTCAGGCTGGCCACACATCCTTTGGGGTGGGGGTCCCTGCTGGAGAATGTGGCCAGTCTGGGTGAGGGGTTGAGGGCTGTTTGGGGTGGTTTACAGGCAGGCCAAGCCTCTGGCTTCATCCGGAAGGACATCTGGAAGGTCTCTGGAAGTCTCCCGGTCTAAGTAGCATATTATTCTTTTATTAATATAGAGATAGATAGATAGATAGATAGATAGATAGATAGAAATGTATGTACTCTAAAAAATACTCATTAAAAAAAAATTCTAGGAATATAGTAGTTCAAGGAATAGGCCTGGTTCCAAAGAAAACCTCAATATAGTCTAAGATATAGAACTCTCACATATTAAGTGATCAGATTATAGAAATTAACATCAAATATAGAAAGAAAACATTACAAGCCACTTGAAAAGAAAACATAAATATTAATAAGGAATATATGACCAAAAGCTAGTATTTTTAAAATATCACTAAAATAACCACAAATATATATTAAAAATAAGAAAGAAGATATAGTTACAAGTATAGTTAGAGTAAAAGGAGACTTTTAAATTATGAAAGACTACTCAGGATGAACTGGAAAATGTTCCAGAAAATCTGCCAAGATTCAAAGTAGATCAATACCATGGAAAAATAATCTACTCTTCAAAAGAGACACCAGTCTCAAATAGTTTTTCAAGAAACTTCTATAAGCCTCAATTGCTTATGTCCTTTAAATTGTAGAGCAAAGATATAAATAGTAAGATTTTAACATTTATTGTAAATATGTGCAAGGTGCTATGCTAAGTAATTTATATATATTACTAAATGCCCAAGGCATGAAATTCGTGCAAGGGACTTGGCCTTTGCAGCCCCAGCATCATCTGCTCTGGACAGTCATTCTGCTGTTTGGTATTATTGCATATTAGCTCTTTATTATATAGGATTATGTTCATGAGAGGAAAGCTTACAAATTTATTGAGAGAGATTAGTATAAAATAGATAAGAAAACTTGAAAAAGAAACCACGTATATTCATAAAAATTGATCACATCTATAAATACAGATAATAGCCTAAATAAAATATAAATGGAAACTAGTTATGAATTAAAACAATAACAGTATATTATGACCAAATAGAGATTTCCTTCTGGGAATTAAAAAATGGCTCAACAGCCGAAACCGGTTTGGCTCAGTGGTAGAGCGTCGGTCTGCGGACTGAAGGGTCCCAGGTTCGATTCCAGTCAAGGGCATGTACTTTGGTTGCGGGCACATCCCCAGTAGGGGGCGTGCAGGAGGCAGCTGGTTGATGTTTCTCTCTCATCAACGTTTCTAGCTCTCTATCTCTCTCCCTTCCTCTCTGTGAAAAATCAATAAAATATATATATTTTTAAAAATGGCTCAACATAAAGAAATCTATTAATATAATTCATAATACTGAAAGGTGAAGGGAAACATTATAGTCCAAAGGAACACTCAGTCCCAAGTGCTTAACAAATATTTGTATTTGTTAAAAATAAAACAAAATTCTTAGTAAACAAGAAATGGAAAAGCAACTTTCTCAATGTGATTTTTATTTTTTAATATACTTATATTGATTTCAGAGAGAAAGGGAGACATAGAAACATCAATGATGAGAAAGTAACATTGATCAGCTGTGTCCTGCACACGTCCCCTACTGAGGATTGAGCCTGCAACCCGAGGATGTGCCCTTGACTGAAATGGAAGCTAGGACCTTTCAGTCCACAGTCCAATACTGTATTTGTCCTTACCAGCTAGGGCTCTCAATGTGATTTTTAAAAGCTACCTAAGGAAGTCAATAATAAGCATCATACTAAACAAGAAAACTTTTCATGGACCATAGGAACAAGATAAAGTTGCTTTTTCTAAATATTATTATTTAATACTGTTCTGGTCAATGAAACAAAGCCACAAAGTAATGTGTGTACATACTGAAAGAAAAAAGTTTTTATTATTTGCAGATGATTGTTACCTAAAAAAAACTAAAGGAATAAATTGAAAAACTAACAGAATAAAAGAGTTTGAACCCTAGCCAGTTTGGCTCAGTGGATAGAGCACTGATCTGCGGACTGAAGGGTTGTTGGTTTGATTGTGGCCAAGAGCACATGCCCAGGGTTGTAGGCTCAATCCCCAGTAGGGGGCGTGCAGGAGGCAGACAATCAATGATTCTCATCATTGATGTTTCTATCTCTCTCACCTTCCTTCTTTTCTAAAATCAATAAAAATATATTTTAAAAAGAGTTCGAGCCGAAACCGGTTTGACTCAGTGGTAGAGCGTCGGTCTGCGGACTGAAAGGTCCTAGGTTCGATTCCGGTCAAGGGCATGTACCTTGGTTGCGGGCACACCCCCGGTAGGTGGTGTGCAAGAGGCAGCTGGTCGATGTTTCTCATCGATGTTTCTAGCTCTTTATCTCTCTCCCTTCCTCTCTGTAAAACATCAATAAAATATATTAAAAAAAAAAAAAAAAAAAAAAAAGAGTTCGATATAGCCGAAACCGGTTTGGCTCAGTGGATAGAGCGTCGGCCTGCAGACTGAAGGGTCCCAGGTTCGATTCCGGTCAGAGGCATGTGCCTTGGTTGCGGGCGCATCCCCAATGAGGGGTGTGCAGGAGGCAGCAGATCAATGCTTCTCTCTCATCAGTGTTTCTAACTCTCTGTCCCTCTCTCTTCCTCTCTGTGAGGAATCAATGAAATATATTAAAAACAAACAAACAAACAAACAAACAAAAACAAACAAAAAAAACTTCTAGAAGGAAACATAAGAGATCATTAAAAAAAAAGAGTTCGATATAATTGGCTAGTTATAATTAATACACATAAGTTGAGAGGGTTAGTGAATGCTAATGATAACTAATTAGAAATTATAATATTCCATCCTCAATATTATTAAATATTCAAAATTTAACTATAATTTTAAAGCCCAAAAGATATAACTAGAGATGAAGGCAATTCACCCCATTTGTACTGCAATTTCAATCAAAATCTCAATGAATATGTAAGTTCTGAAACTGCATAAGAAAAGCAAGTTATTTTGAAAAATGGGAACATGCTCTATCAGATACAAAGCCACAGCATATGGATTAGCATAGGAATAGTGAGATCACTGGCACAGAACAGAGACTTACAAACATACGCATAACTACATGGGCATTTAGTACATGATTAAAAGGGCATTTCAAATCGGGCAAGAGTGGACAATTAAAATCTCTCAATGAAAGTTGAGAAAACTGGCTTTTCACTTCGAGAGAAAAAGTGAAGGTTTCTACCTTATATATACCACACACAAAAATAAATACTATTTGAATTAAAGATTTAATTATAAAAATAAAAATATACAATTATTAAAATAGGCTATAAGAAAATATTTTAAACATTGGTATGGGAGGTGGGGGGAATTTTTCCTAGGATAACCAAAGCTAGAAAAAGCAGGGGTGGGAATGTCCAGCCAGTGGGCTGTATGAGGCCCATGAAACCATTTGGTCTGGCCCTGTCAAGGCATTAGGGGTGAGTTGATTAAATGTTTGACCAACTATAGCAGGCTAATTTTTAAGTTGATAATTTTGTATGGTCCTTAAATGTTATAAATATCCAAATTGCCCTTGGCAGAAAAAAAAGGTTCTCCGTCCTTTCTATAAAGGGAGATTGATGGATTAGACTACATAAAACTAAAAACTTAAACGCCAATACCTTAGGTTGTGTGAAGTATTGTGCATGCACTGTAACAGTCTCCTACAATTAAAGAGATTAATTCCTTCAAGGGGAAAAAAGGCAAAGGATCCAAATAGAAAACTCATAAATGAAGAAAAAATGGTAAATAAACATATGAAAAGCCGCTGAACTTCAACCTTAAAACTAAGCAAAGAAATCCAAATTCAAATGATAATATCACTGTTGAGGAATTGGAAGCAGGAGGTGGGGGGAGAGGGGCAGGAGTTGGGAAGAGAGGCAGTGGGAAGTGCGGGTGGTAAGCCTCCTAAGCTGAAAGTGAGCCACAGTCAGTTCAGCAGGAATGCAGTTCTCAAAGTGTCTCCTATTTTTCACTTTAAAGTTAGATCCCCAAGAACAAGCACACAATACATAAGAAATTTACTGGGGGACGATGTCCCAAAGTTCAATAGGTATGCTACTTTTTTGTCCAAAAGGGGTATAAATAAGACCTCAAAAGACTATATAACTTCTGTGTATATACTCACAAAGAAACTTTGGAAACATTCAGAACTAGTGACAATGATTATTTGGATGGGAGGAGGAAGAAGTGGTAGGAATTAGGCAGATTTTAAAGAAACAGAGACTTAGCTCTCCCTACATAAGTTTTGTTTGTAATTTTTGAACTATATAAATAATATTATTTATTTTAAAAAATAATTGAAATCTTATGCTGTTTAATAAAAATAATGCTAACTGGAATTGATTTTTTTTCCACATATACGTTCCCAGATAGCGCGGTGGTTAGGTTTTAACTTTTCAGACAGAAACTGCCTGCATCTCTCCCATCTTAGAATCCAGCTATATAGATTCCATTAAAGTGCTTATGTAAAATTTCACTTTCTAAAAGGTAGCATGTATCAAAATGTAAAATTTTCATGCCCCTTAACCCAGTAATGGCATTTCTAAAAATTTATCACAGAGGAATTACAGAATAGGGCGCAAAGATGATTCTGCAGTATTATTTACTATAGGAGGAAACTATTACTATCCACTAGATGGCATAGCATACTGGTAAATTGTGATCATCACTACTGATCTGCTTGTTTGTGCACCACACCTGGAGTTACAAGAAGCCCCTTATCCCACATTCTCAGCTTTGTGACTCCAGATCCCTCCTTCCCATTCACCCGTTGCCTGGCTCTTGGATGAGCCAGCCACCCACCGGCTCACCTAGTCAGTGTAGGGTTGCGGTGGTTGGAGTTGGAGCAGAAGATGTTGTTGGACTTGCGCGTGGCATCCAGGAACTGGCATACCGCCTGGCCGCGGAGCTCTGCCAGGGGCCGGGCCTCGTGCTTGAGGAACCACTGGTGCGCCTCAAAGCACTTGGCGCAGAGGAGTTGCTCGCATTCAAAGCACCAGAAGTCTGCGGGCTCTTTGCAGCGGGTGCACACGGCCTGCGCATCCACAATCTGCTGGTACACTGACAGGCGTCGCTGCAGACTCTCAAAAAAGATGTTATCCAGGACCAGTCCATCAGCGTCAGGAGGAAGGGCCTCCTGGCAGATAGGGCACTGCATGTCTGGGGGCTTCAGGCATCCTGAGCACACTGTGTGCAGGCAAAGCAGCAGCTTGGGGCACTTGGCTTCTGCCTGACAGCCCTGGCAGCGCAGGAACTGGAACTCCTCCGTAGTTTGCTGGGGGAGAGGAGAGGAGTGAGACCTTATGTCCCAGGAGTCACCTCCTACCACCAACATAGGTCACCTGCCCCCATGGCTGGAGGCTGGAAGGGACTTCATATTTCATTCCAGGCAGTCACTGGTTGATGAAAATCCAGGCTTACCAGTATTTCAACTCCCCATTTACTCAGGCCTTCCCACTCTAATTCCACAATATATTGGGTATCTACTTCCCATCAGACACAATACCAGGCCCTGAGATACAACGATAAATAGGATACCTCTACCCCTACTATCACTGAACTCAGTTTAGAAAAGAGATACATTAAGTATCAACCTTCTATAAAGTTTGGTGGTTTCTCATAAAGGTAAACTACCTTTTGGAGGAACTACCATAGGATTTGGCAATTCCACTCCTAGACATATATACAAAGGAACTGAAACCACTGACCCACACAGATAAATATATATATATATATATATATATATATATATATATACACACACACACACACACACACACACACACACACGCATTCTCAGGAGCACACTATTCACAATAGCCAGAGATGGAAACAACCCAAGTGTTCATTAAAGAATAAACAAAATGAAGTACATACAACGAAATATTATTCAGCCTTCATATTTAAGGAAGGACATTATGCTAAATGAACTAAGCCAGACATAGGAAAAATATATGATTCCACTTATATAAAATATCTAGAGCAGGCAAATTCACAGAGACAAAGTAGATTACAGATTATCAGGGGCTAGAGGGAGAGGAATTATGAGCTATTGGTTAAAGGGTATAGAGTTTGTTTGACGTGATGAAAAAGTTCTGGAAATAGGTAGTGAGGGTTACACAACATTGTGAATGTACTTAATGCTGCTAAAAATATATTTAGAAATGGTTAAAATGGCAATCTTGTGCATATTTCACCACAATTTTTAAATGCAAAAAAAGTACTTAATACAGTGCATGGCACATGATAAGTGCTCATAGAGTTAACTAGTGATATTAAGCAATATTATTCCTAGCTGTACTTATGTAAATAATACAGATTTCTGCAACTGTTGTTATTTGTGCTTTTAAAAGGGCCTGGAAGAACACAGAGCAAGTGATCCAATAAGCTCCTCTTTGGGGTGGGAGGCTGGGGTTTGTTAGGAAAAGACTAAGGGAAAGATTCCAGGAAAAATACCTGCCTGGGGAAAGGGGGTTGGGAGGGCAAGGTGTCCAGGAGAAGTATCTGGAAGGCTTCCTGGAGAAGAAACCACAGGAGCTGCGAGGCCATAACTGATTCATCACTACGGTTCGGATCCGGGACTTGGGTTTCGTTTTCCCCAACATGAGCACCCTCCGCCAACTCCCCCATTCCACCCGCTTCCGCCCTCCACCCCCGCCTCCCCCGTTCCACCACCTGCAAGAGCCATGCCAGGCCTGGGCAATTACTCTGGGGCCTCCTCAGAGCAGGGGCAAAGAGGCTTATTGCCAGCGCGGGTAGGAGTCCGGTCCGAGGTGCCACTGTTCGTTCAATGGAGAATAGCAGCCCAGAGTGGCTCCCTTAACTCATCCCGGTGATCTTTTATTCATCTCTCCTCTCCTCTATTCCTCCTCGAGCCAAGAGGGTCTGGTCTTTTCCTTCTGTGTACTTGACCAAGTACCCTCTTCCTTTTCACCTTTCCTCCCATAACAGCAAATTAACAAAGCCTAAACCCCATCTCCCCAAACCCAGTAGTACCTCTGTGGGGCTGTGGTCCGGGCTGGGCTGCTGGCTTTCGGAGGGAGACCCCGGGGGAGGCATGGTGGACATGGAGGGCAGCGTAGAATCCTGCTGGGTCCCCGATCGGGCGGGTGCAGGCTCCGGCTGCATGGATCCAGGCGCAGTTTCCATTCTCAGTTTTGATCTTGGGGGGGCGAGAGAAGCTGGAGGAGACTCACGCTCCAGAGGACTGAATTTCCGGAGCTGTCTGAAAGGGGAGGGCCAGTTCTGCGCCAGTCACTGGAAAGGAAGTGAAACCGTAACTGGGGGCAGTTCTAGGGGCGGAGAGGCCAAACTGTGGGTATGGAAGACACGCCCATGACGGGTTGGAGGGAGAGAGAGAACAGTGGATGCACTGCGTCCTGGGGTAATAGGCAAGTGTCAGAGCTGACACGAGGGATGCAGCCCCGCCCTGGGCTTTGGGCATTCAGCAGCCCACAGTGGCACAGCTTTTTGCCAGCCCCGAGCTGGGAGCTTGGGGCAGAGATGAGTAACATGGCCCGTGCTTTGGAAGAATCCCACCCAGATCAAGTGGAAGGACAGGCCCCAAAAGGAGATTTTTCACACAGCATTGAGACTGGCTGGACAGGAGGTTCCTCAGCTGGGATTTGGAACAGTGGGAATTCACCAAGGACTCAAATATTAGAAAAACACTTTAAACAGAGAAAATAGTTAGTGAAAAGGCATGAAGTTTTGAAACAGGATTTAAGAGGGGACCCATGAACAATGTCAGCCTAGAAAGGACTGGGACAAGATCTTAGATAAGGAGATGGGCCAGTTTTGTGGACTGCAGTCAGTTTGGTACCTAGGAACAATGTGATTCGCTGTGCATGTTAGAAAGTCACTCTGACAACCTAGGGGCAGGTGGCTTGATCTAGGATAGTGGCTGTGGGATGCAAGAGGGACCTGAGTCAGAGACACTAGGAGGACACTGAGTGTAGATGAGGGGAACAGGATGATGCCTTGGGTGACAGTTGGAAAAGCTGGTGAATTTTAGGCAGTGGGCGATGGCAAGAGATGGGGGAAAGCTGGTGACAGGGTATGAAGAGTGAGGAGAGAGAGTAAGTTAGCTTTTGTCCAGCAGAAAAGTATGCCAGACCCCCAGTTGGTAAGGGAGAAAGTACAGCTCCAGGTAGCCTCCCTGAGCCAGGACCTTTGGCTTCAAATTTCAAACCATCCCAACCACTGTGTACCCATTCTGTGTTGTTCCAGCTTGGAACAGACCAGGAGGGGTGGTGACAGGGCTGTGCTCTTGTAAAGGCTTATAGTCTGAAAGCATGTATGGGAGTGGAGGAGGCTTCAGGAGCCTGCCCTAACTTCCAGCCCCATCAGTACCCCTAGGCCCTAGGGCTTTAGAATCAGGCCATCAAACTAGGAAAAACCAAAGTTGGTGAGCAGCTATCTGCAGGAGGGACCTGGAACTGGGCTATTGCTGAGAGGCTGAGGGGCATGAGGAGGCAACTAGCATGTGGCTGTGACAAGAAAAGTTTTATTAATCACTGCTCATTTTGGAAGACAGCTTGCCTCAATGCCCTATTAGAAGTTTATGTTTCTCAGAGTAAACTCCCCATTTGCATTTGGGTTTTCTCAAACCATGGAGAGACAAATTACCTCTGGGTAACTGGATCAAGAGATATGCCGTTTCTGGATCTAAGGACTGAGAATCTCACCTCTAGATGTTCCGGAGGGTCTGCCCCGTCATTAACTCTGTGCTAACTCCTCGTTCCTTACTTTGCTGTGCTCCCTGAGGTCTCACATGAAATTTTTCTCTTTTTGTGCCAAAGTCCAGGTCCTCCCGCCCCACCTTGACCACAGTGACCTATCAACAAATAAGTACTGAGAACCATTCTGTGCCAGAGTCTGCTTGCTGGGCTGTGGGTACACAAAGTGAAATAATTTGCTGAATATGCCCTGGAGAAACATTAATTCTAGATAAGCTCCATACTTTCTTTACCACTCCACCCACCGCTAGTATTTGAGTTTGGAGAGGGAATGATACAAGTTCCTTGATTCTGGATAAGATTCGGTTCCTGAAAAATCCCTTTCAAAGCCAACTTCCCTCCTGATCCTTTTCCAAAGCCCAGAGGTAGCAAGCAGGAGGAGGCAAGGACCACCTTTGCTCCCAGCCCCGTGCCCGCAGTTCGGTCCTCCTAGCGCAGGTGGCGATGTGCGACTGCGGGAGGCAGCCGGATCTCCCGAGAAGCCGGAAGCCCAGACCGGAAGGGGCGGGGCGGAAGTGATCTCCCGGCACTGGCTAGACTTGTGTTTAGAACCCTGCTCCTCCTGTCTGGGTACCCGGCGCTACCCTTGGGGACGTTGATTCTTTCCCGCAGTCGAACTTCGGCTTCCTGGGCTCCCAGAAGGGCCGCTTGTTCCGGGAGCGGGGCGACAGGGGGCCGGGGGCTGGTGAGTGTCGGGGGCCGGATGGCATCGCCAGGCCCGAGCTCTGTGCCTGTGAGTAGTAGGATTGTCTGGCGTAGTCGCTCCCAATGAGGAGGGAGCGAGAGGAAACGCTACGTGGATAGGGGCCTGTACCGGAAGTTGGGATGATGGCACCGATCTGGGGTTTGGGGGCTGCAGCCTTCAGTTCTCGTCTTCCAAGAAGCCCCCCTCCATCCGCCCCCACACACCTCATTCCTCCTTGGCTCAGCCCGTTAGGCCTCGGTGAGGTTGCAAGTTCCCATTTTGACGAGAAAGAAACCAAGGTCTAGGCATAGAAGATCACCTGCTTGCCAAGGGCACTTAGCTGCTAAGGAGTGGCAGAATCCCCTCTGTCCCCTCGCACCTCTAGATTTCCTGAGCTTGAGCACCTCTCTGTTTCCTGGCGGAGATGCCAGACCAAAAAAGCCTCTCAGCTGCCTGTGTGTCAACTCTGGACCTCTCTTGCTCCAAAGCCTTGAATCCCATATTTCAGATCTCACACTCCCTAGCGGCCTAGCCTGAAAACCAAACACTGGAGGATTTGGTCCCTCCCCTAACCCTCCTGTAATGACAGCTACCTCATCCAAGGGTTCCTTTTCTGCAGGGACCATGAGGTGAGCCTCATCTTCCTAGTTCCTCTCTCCCCTACTTCCCCCCGGAAGCTCTTCAACTAAACCAAGTATTTGATTGCCCTCAGGGGGTAAAGAATTGTGAACTAGGAAAGAACAACTTAGTCATCACCTGTGGCTCTTGATTGGTGAGCCATTAATGCCTTATCCCTTTAGGCAAAAGGACTCCTTGAAAGCACACTTCTCAGGCTTATGATAGAGGAGCATTCACTTCAACCCAACCTGTCTTTACAGATTCCCATCCAATCCTGGCTCTCTTGTCTATAAATCAGACAAGAAGATTGATTCCTGCTCAGCCCAATAAAGAGGACATCACATGGTTTTGTTTCTCAGATCCAATGACCATTGTCCAGCAGAGAAAGTCGTGTGAAGACTGGACTTGGGAGAGATTAATTTTGATGTGTGGGAAAAGGGAATAGTCCTTAATTAGCACTTACCCAAAGATAGGGGAGTTTTAGGCAAGGAGGCAGACAGAGCTCTGAGAAGGAAAGGAGGTGGGCAAAATGTTCACTGTGCCTGCTGCTGTCTGGCCAGCAGATTGGTGTTCCTTGACTGCCTTTGTTCTCTTGCCCCAGATGTACCTCACACCTGGTTTTCCTGCCTCTACCACAGCCTCATCAGTTTCCTGGGTTCTTGCTGCTGGTGGTCACCTTCCCCATTTTTGGCTGGTTTGCCCGGGGCAGCCCCAGGGTGATTGGATCATACTGAGCATTGATGGATGAACTTTTTGTTCTCTGTCTTCTTTCCTTAAGTATATTATTGTTAACGAAATAAAACCATTGAAACCTGTAAAAAAATTTTTTATGAGTTTATTTGATCCAAACTTTCGACAATTGCCGGGAAGCAGAACCTCAACAGATTGAGATAATGCTCCAAAGAATGGTGGATTACATTTCTCTATTTATACATCGAAGTCAAAGGAGGGACATAGGTGGGTTACATGAAATTCATTGGTGATGGAGTAAGGAGGTGGGAGAAAGCAAAGTGATGGGAAACTCCTGGGATTGGATAAAAGTAAAATGATGGAGGTTTACTCGGGTGAGTGCAGGAACAATTAACATGATAAAGAAGGAATTTGAGGCATCTGTCCTGGCGCCCACCACATTTGATTGTTCCCCAGGGGCTCCGGAAAAAGGGAAGTTACAAGTTACCCAGACATCTCACAGATATGTTATCTTAGAGGCAAAAAGGCTAATGGGCTCAGTAAAAAGATCAAAGTTGATCTTTGTCTGGGAAAATATCTGGGAAATGACTTACCTACTATAACCTGTTAGATATTTAATTTTCAAACCATCTTTTGTGGTTATCTTAGGTCTCTGGGTTTGCAAGACTGCCACACAGGCCTTCCCTGAGCTTGTCAGGTTAGCTTATGGCTCTTTTCTTTCACATTATCATACTTCTGTGAAATGGGCTGGACTAGGACACATCTTTCATTTGAGGAAACAGGCTCATATTTGTTCAAAGTCACTCAGGAACCAAACTCCCAAGTCCTGGGTTCTGGACAATAGTGTTAAGGTGCATACAGATATCTTTGCCAAACCTTCCTGCCTTTGGATTAGGCTAAATTGGAAATGGAAAACACTGAAATTAGCCCCGTAGCCCTGACCGGTTTGGATCAGTGGATAGAGTATCAGCCTGCAGACTCAAGGGTCCCAGGTTCGATTCCGGTCAAGGGCATGTTTCTTGGTTGAGGGCACATCCCTGTAGGAGGGTGCAGAAGGCAGCTGATTGATGTTTTTCTCTCATTGATGTTTCTAACTCTCCCTCTCCCCTCCTCTCTGTAAAAAGTCAATAAAATATATTAAAAAATAAAAATAAAAAGCAAAATTGGCCTTGTAGATAATGAGTGAAAGGAATTCAAGCCTTGTTTCCATAGGGGGTGTCTGCAGATGGGAAAAGGATGAACTATAGTTGAGGATCACACCTGAAAGTTGCAGTGAAGTAGAAACCCAGGCAGGCCCTGCTCTTTGTGCAGCCCTAAGCCATGGTCTATTTTTCTAGAAAGACTTAGGGTTTGGTGTAGTCTAGAAAAAAGTCCTTAGAAAGTCCTAAAACTGCCAC